CACACTGTAATATTTTTCTATGGGGCTATGTGAAAGGACAGGTCCATATGCACCTCTTCCTAGAAGCCCAGAGGAAATTAAGTCACTCGAGAATGTTACGTTTCCCACAGTTCAGGCTCGATATCTCCTAGTCGCATATTTCTCAAAAGCCTATGTCTGCTCAGCTTCGTTCCGAATACATAAACAAAGCAATTTCTAAAGAATTAATGGATTTATGTTTAATCCGATATTTTTATTACTGCGAGAAAATATTTTTATTACTTTCGAGAAAATAACTGAATGAAGACGTGCGATTTCATTAAAAGGGAAATAGAACCTTACTGAACTGTGAGACTCTCTATAGCTGATTCGTAAAATATGCCGAATAAAACAGCGGTTTCTCTCACAATAATCGACACTGTTTAAAATAAATATAAATAAAATAAACTTGGGGTGTCCATTTCAAACACGAGTAAACAGTAATAATACACATTCACAGACACTGGCAGGGTGCACCCAAAATTTGACATCATTTAAAATGTGAATATCTGAGTAACTGCATGTTCCAGGCAAATGAAATCAAGAAGGCTTCGTGTTGAACAATAGAAGATTTATTTTTCAAAATTCGAACAAGTTATTCAAAGGGATGTTGATTTTATAACAGATTTCGCAAAGCTTTATAAATGTGTAATATGTCGACTACCTGTGACACGATAGACGTCAAGTCGGTAGTACAGATTCTGCCAAATACGCTGTGGTTGTAAAGCCACTAAGACACAAAGGGTTACTGAATGTAGAAGTATTAAAAAACAGAAATCTACCATCGCATCTTCTATGTACATACAAATGTCCGTCACCAAAAAAATTGACATCATTTTCAATATGGATATCTGAGTAACTAGATGTTCCAGGAAAATGAGATTAAATAGGCTTCATGTTGAACAATAGAAGATTTATTTTTTTCAAAAGTCGAACAAGTTATTCAAAGGGATGTTCATTTTATAACAGATTTCACAAAGCTTTATAAATGTGTAATATGTCGACTATCTGTAACACGATACACGTCAAGTAGGTAGTACAGATTCTGCCAAATACGCTGTAGTTGTAAAGCTACTAAGACACAAAGGGTTACTGAATGTGGAAGTATTAAAAAACAGAAACATTGCTAAAAATCGAGAACAAAATAATCAGGACAAGAATAGAATGCGATTGGCATTGCATTTATTTTTTGAAGATTAAGTTGACCGTGAAAGGCAAACAATGAAAAAGAGACATAGACATATTTACATGTTCTCAAGGGACATGAGGCCTTGAAAAAAAAAAGGGGTAATCTGATGATATTATTTAATATTATGGTAAAATATATAATTAACTCTCCCGATCATTTAAAAAATTAAATTAATACAGGGCAGAAATTAATATGATTTTTATAGATAAGTGTTCATTAGATCGTCTTCGGGACACAATAGAAAAATATTAATTATTTATCATTTTAAAATATTAATTATTTATCTGTCTATATTTCTGAACTGACCAAGTATAGAAATGAATACAATATAGGAACCAGTAATAAGGAGTTCCCGAGAAAACCAATAATGAACAATATGAGCTTTGGTAAAAAAAAATCAATGATAACAGCAAAAATTGCAATGAGCACTGGTAAAAAAAAAAGTTGTTGAAAACATTAAGTTTATAAGTCCCAGAGATTAATACACAGATGTCCTCAAAGACACAGTGGATAAAGGCGTTGGTTAAATCCAGTGACAGGACCCAAAGAGTTGTGGGTTCAATACCTGGATAAGGCGATGGAGACCTTAGAGAGGGGAATTAACAGATAACTGGTAGCTGACATCTATTAGACATGGCACATGGAACTAGAACAATCTAAGCCAGCGAGCGAAATAAAGGGTTCAGTTCGACATTCCAACTACCTGAAGAAGGCCGAAGCGTACATCGGCCGAAACGTTGTGATAAATATGAAAGATGAGGACAATAGTCCGAATAATGTAAATAGTGTAATTATTTATCATATTAGAATGCCAAATTGATCCTTGACTTCTTAAAGGGTTATCCTTGCTTCACGCACTTTAGAAAGCAGCGAACCAGGTAGGTCTCTATTGCAACGTAAGTAAGACAGAATATATCACAACCTCCCCTGAACCATCCGGGTTGAAGTCGTCAAATAATACATCCAGCAAACAAGTTGAGGACTTCAAATATCTTGGATCACACATAATAGATTCCCAAAAAGACTTCAACATCTGCAAAACTCTTGATTGGGATGAGTGTAAGATTTGTCACTCGAATTTCCCAACCTCCTTAAAAGTCCCAACCCCTTTCGGGGGTTGATTGAACCAGTCTTAATGCATGGATCAGAAACTTGGACATAATTTGCTCGTCATGAAAGACGACTGGATGGAACATATCCAAATCTACCTAGAAAAATCCACAACATCAGTTGTGAGATCCCATGCAACGCTTAACGCAATTTATGGAGAACTAAGACCAATCTCTCTTAAGCTAAAAAAAATAAAGATTACAGTTTGCCGGCCATTGCCACCGAGCGGACAGGGAAATCGTCTTATCCTACGGCATCTTTCTGGAAGTGTCTTCTCACGAAAATTGACTTTCTCAGACACCATAATTCGGGACTCAGGGTTGAACTTTGAGGATCTGGGGACAGCAATGCAGGACTGAACTGTGTGGAAAGGGATTGTCAATAGAGTTCCCAGCAACCATAGGGAGGTCAAATGATTAGTTATCTCTAGTTTGGTTTTATTTACAACTACGCTGATCTCATTCATTAATGCGTGCTATTGATGTGTTTCTTCCCATTTCGTAGTAGTACATCGGTTATCAGTGACGCAGACAGTTTCAAAGTTAAAGTTTTTAAATAAAAACAAAGTACCAAGGATTTTTTTTAAAGGTAAGTTAATTTAAGTTATGCCGAATGATGGAATGTCTTAACTGCAACAGTTCTGTGAATTTTGTTCAACGAGAAGCAGCTATTCACGGTGAAAAAAACATTGCAAACGGAGAAAGGATGTGGAAGTTTGTGCTGGTAACGTTCATTGTAATTTGAACAGCACAGTTTAACAATCGTAATACTTGCCAGTTGATGAATGATGTTCGATGCAAGAAACAAAAAACATTTAAAGACATTTGACCTTGACTCGTTCACTTTCGCCGAATGAGCAAATTCCCAGAGCGCCACTCATACGATCAGGTGTAGCATTGGAATTGAACAGGCTATTTACTCTGAAAATCAATTTCGTCAAGGAATAATCGATATAGAACAAGATCGATCAGTATGCCTAGATAATGCAATATGAATGCAATATAACGTTCAGAGAATTTATATTTGCATATATATATATATAGAGAGAGAGAGAGATAGAGAGAGAGAGAAAATTTATATATATATATATATATATATATACATAATATAATAGATATAATCTATAGATATAGATCACATAATATATATATATATATATATTGCTGGCTTAATAGATCACAGCATACGCCTCTTTTTATCCAATTGTAAGAAATGTAAATGTATCTTCAAAGATGCTAAGTTGTTGTTTGCTGATATAGATTCTCACCAGTCTGGATCTTGCGGCAAATGGTGGCTCTGAATAAGTGCGTTAAAAAAGAGTAAGTCCTCAATCCCTCATCCTTTCATTTAATTTCAAGTGTTATCAATAAAGTAGAATGCCTTGCTCGTAGATTCTCTTCCAATTCTACTCTCGACTAATCCAGAGTCTCTTTACCACTGATATCTGAGTCTCTGCTAAGTGATATGCATATAAATCCGTCCATGCTTTCCTCTAGCATCTCCAAACTTGATCCCCACTAAGCGCGTGAACTCGATAGTATCTGTCCCTGAACCAGCCCTTGCTCCTCAAAAGCTCAAAATCGATGCTTCTTGCTTTACTGCTTGTTGCAAATCCTCCCCTGTAATTCCTGTTTTTAAGAACTCTGGCTAACTCTCCGAACCTTCAAACTATCGAATACTAGTCTCTCTATCTCTATTTAGCAAAGTACGATAATCTCTAATCAACTACGAATTGATTAAGCATCTAACTTAACAGGGTATTCTTTCAAATAAGCAATATGGTTTTCTTCAGGTCGACATTATTCTTCCAAGCTGAAAGTCTGTCAATATTTTGATAATAATGGCAATGCTGGAACTTGCTTTATGTTTTTCGAAAGCGTTTCAGAAGGTTTGGTATGCTGGTCGCCTTCACAAGTTGAAGGGCTATGGGTCTCTGGCCGAATTGTCGACTTGATCCAATCTTGTAATGAAAGACAGGTTGAAAGGCTACGCTTCTATATCCTTTCACCTTAATGCAAAGGTCCCACTGCCTCTAACCTTTAAGTTACGGTGTTTCCTATCTTCATCAACAATCTTACCGATGTCATCAGTACCCAACCAGCTATTCATGCAGATAACACAACTATTTACTCCTATCTTTGTAGAAATTCTGACAGATCTACATCTGCTATCGAAAATAATATCCAGTCAGTTGTTAATTGGGGCAAGAAATTGGTCGTAAAATTTAACGCCTCAAAAATGAAACAGCTATCAATATAATCATCTACCTCTCAACATCACAGCTGATGCTAACCTCCAGAAGAGCAACTCTTCTTCTCTTCTTAGACGCACGTTCTCCACTGACATGAAGTGGAATATTTAAATTGAATCACTTGCTAAATCTGCTGCTAGGAAAGTCGGCTCCCCGTGTCCTGCGTTTTCCCGTCAGAATTCATCTTACAGATTTATAAATATTGACGCCATATTTGGTCTGGAGTCTATATATCTTGAGATCCACGGCAAAATCCAAAGAGGTATTTGCAACGTTATCGGTCCTTACATGGCAAATCGACTACAGTTATTTTCCTCACCGCCCTGATATGACTTCTGTGGCAATTGTTCTAATGAACTTCCATTTCTGGTACCTCGATCACATGACATTAGACGTGTTACTCGATTTAGCAACTAGGTCTTACAGTTTTACTGTTGAGATAGATAGATAGATAGATAGATAGATAGATAGATAGATAGATAGATAGATAGATATAACATCTTTTTTTCGTCGGGTCACACTTAGTGAGTATTCAAAATAGGAATCTGTTTATTTTGCACGTTCCTGAAATCATCTGTCCTTTTCCTATCTTTCAAAATGTATACGACAACGTGCTGACAGTTTGGAATAATTTTTATTGCTTTTGTTTATTAATTATTCACCTCATTAAATTCTGTAATTTACAGTTTCTCCTCTATGAATGGGTAGCAATTTCAGACGTATTCATTTTGAAAAAAAAAACGTGAAAAGAACTATTGTTGTCTGGAGGGTTCCATATAAATAGACACCCATTTCAAAAAATCGCAAAGTGTGAAACATGATAATGGATAAATAAAGACAAACATTATTTGTATGTGTATTTAAAAGCTCTTTTAAAAATATTTAAAATAGAACACTCTTATATATGTAAAATTGAATATATAAATTATATATGTGTGTGTATGTGTGTGCGCGCGTGTGTGTGTAAGAGTGCGTGCGTGTTCATCCGTTTCGTGTAATAACTTCTTTTTCCTACCTCAAATAATTTCCATAATGTTGCTTTTACAAGAATGATTTCGTTGTTTGCCTCTTCCACGCAGATCAGAACATTAAACTCTTTTTTTTTCTCCTACTGCCACCGCCAGCCCAACTCTAGTTACTCCAGCCTCTTCACCAGATTTCCCTTAGACCTCCCAATCCCACTTAGCTTACAAGAGAACTCTTCAAACCGGCGCACTCGATTGTTGCTTGTTACCGTTAAGAGCTCATCACGGGTCCAGATTTTGTTTATCTCCAACCAATCATCTGCCATGTCCAGTAAGTCTCACTGGACAGCTTTGCACAAACGAACGCGCAGAAGAGGCTCGCTTAACAAAAACAAGGGAGCTAATTAGGCTATGACAATAGAAAATCGCCGTATAAAACTAAAGAGCGTAATCGAGATAGATTGAAGTAGTGACAAAAAGGGGGAAAAAAGATTTAATATCCCGCTTTGGACAACTAACTACCTGACATCATTTCACGCCATATTCCGTTTCATTCGTTGGTAAATTACTGCCCAGAAGTGCCAAAGAGGAGGCTGCTGCGCACTGCCATCGCGCAAAGGGGATATGTATGATTTGATCGTTGGGTATCGTTCATTAACTCTCTTCTTGATTGTATTGGATGTTCTGAAAGAACTGGATAATTTGTTAAGCGCCACTATCATAGGTCACCATTTGCCGGATGAATTTTGTGATCAGGACGTATGATTATGTATACGTTGCTGTCTCTCCCACAAAACAATCGTTAGTATGGTCTTGAAAAGGGAAAATTCTTAAAGTACTTACTAGTAATTTTAAGATGCAACCAATATATCTAGAATAACTTACCTAGGGCACATACCACTGGACAGTCACCCATGCTCCCATTGAACAAATAATTTGTTTTTTCACTAAAAAAACAGTAATTTTAAGATGCCACCAATACATCTAAAATATCTTATCTAGGGCACATGCTATTTGACAGTCGCCCATGGTCCCACTGAACGAATATTATTTTTTTACAAAAAACCCAGGAGATACTTATATTATAGAGTTGCAAAAAGGAAATGCTGTAATCGCGTACATGGAGGGACCTAAGGGTATATCTCTATCTATAAAAGGCAGGATATGTGTGTGTGTGTGTGTGTGTGTGTGTGTGTGTGTGTGTGTGTGTGTGTGTGTAACGAATGCACGGCCGCAATTTTCAAAGGATTTGCACTAAACTTTACATGCCCATGCTCCAAGTTAGCAAAATGGCCAAGATCGACTTGCATTTCCCAACTCCCATCGATAGTGGAAATAATCGATTTTTTCATCCTTCTACGGCAGTTTTTATGTAGTTCGTGGCTATTTTCTACTGGCCAGAGTGAGAGCCTATAGCTGGCTGCCACGAATAGACAGGAAGATTCTATTGGCCAGCGTGAGAGCCAACAGCTGACTGACACGAATGTTAACTAGAATGCTAGCATGCAAATAAAAAAATCGTTAGCTGCATTCGTCACAAGTGGGAAAAATTTTAATCTGCATGGCACTTTACTCCAATTGGCTCATTCGCTTGCTTAAACTCAACGTTGATTCTGATTCCGCAGAACTGGGTTAAGTGTGAAAAATATTTGTTGTTAAAATTCTTTTTTCATTCGGTTTTTCCAGTTACGAGTCCTTTTTTTAAAGCTGATCGTTTTGTGTTCATTTTGTTTAGTTCTTTTTTTCGTAACAGATTGAATGTTTAGTATAGAGCTTAGAAAAAATTCGCAGTGCGTAATAGGCAAGAAGTAAGGCATGTAGCAACATCAGCACGGCAAAGGGCACTCCTTTAAAGGCAAGGAAGGGCAAAAATATTTTAAGTCAAGTGATAGCGATTGCTCATGAGTCGTACGGTTTTTTAATCAAACACGGGCAACGCCGGGCCATGCTGCTAGCTAGTGTATTATAGATAACGATTTGTCTTTACTTGAGGCCAAGATTGGGGGGACCGGGAAAATATCATCTCAGTAGTCCATTTCACAATTCAACAGTTCAACGTAAGAAGCCGTCTGAGTTGAACTTCTTCCTTACGAATGGAATATGAATGAAATTAAGATAACTCCGTCGTATGTGGTGTAGTGGCTCTTAGCTGAGAAGGTCTAGACAGTGAAGAGAAAAAATGCGTCTCGTCCGAACATCTGTCATGAAAATATGAACAGAGTAGTGAAAGGTTACTGGCGTTTCCGTTGTGGAAGAAGTTTTAGGGTGGCAAACAATTCTTTACCTCCAAGGCCACACTCGACAGAGGCTGCAAAGTGAGAATCGGGCAGCTACGACCCTGATGTTCCGGCGATAACCCATTTTAAATAACAGGCACATCATTTACCCACCGGATCGCTTATTGTCCGGTCCACACTCCTCCTCGGTCTTTTGAAGTGGTGTAGAGGTCTATCCCTTGTTTTCTAATCCTAACTAGGTTACCGGTTCTTTCTAAAGTCATCTTTCTCTGTTTCACTCTTGGTAACAACTTGTGTCTTAATGACATTATCGCACTGTTTGTGGGGAATTGATTTTTTTAAAAAAGTCTGACTAAAGGAGGAAGAAGCGTTCTTTGGTACCGTCCGACAGTCAAACTAGTATGGCATCTGCTGACAGTCAAACTAGTGGCCGCTTAAGCGCAAACACCTTGATTTCAGTTGTAGAAGAGATTCTGTTTGTCGGTGTGGAGTCAAATTCCTGGATTGTGGAAGACAGGCGATGATGTAATGTACAAAAGAATGGCCACTTTATATCCTCAGCGTATAAATGGCCAGCAATACTACCAGATGTAATGTTTGTCAAAAAAAAAAAAATAGAAAGAAAAGGTGAGTTAGGCTAACTGACACATGAAACGAATGCAGATTAAAGTTTAAGGCATCAATCGACGAAACGTCAACCAGAAAAAATAAAATAACCAGATGATGAAATATGCAAAGTCGATTAAACAGGAAAAAAAAAGAAAAAATAACTTAACAATGGCATCCGTATCAAATGACACTAAATAAATTATCTATTTAATATTTTTAGTTGCATATCAGCGTGAGAGTGCCGATCACAAGAGACGCCTATTCGTGGTCGCACGAAATAAATGTAAACGTGTCCTCAAGGGAGCTAAGACTTTGCTGATAGAATGAGGCACCATATAGCCTCTCTCACAGTGTCTCTCAACTATTTTTAATTCAGATCACACTTGTGAAATAACTAGAATTCTAGGGCACACTTTAAATAAGGAAAAATAAGTCATGAAATTTGTTAGAGTCTAACAATTGGAGTAAAAAATGTCTTGTTAATTTTAACGCCTCCAAAACTAAACTTCTCTCCATTAATCATCTGAGAGACCCATCTCTGCCTTCCTTCAACATGACTTATGCTATCCCCCAGAAAATTGACACGTTACTCCCTCCCGAGGTAATATTCTCAACTGACATGAAGTGGAAAGACTCTATTGAATTCATTGCTAGATTAGCTGCTAAAAAAGTTGGTTCTGTGTCATGCAAGACAATTTTTCTCTCCAGAATCTGTTAAGTCTACCATTCGTCAATACTTAGAATATTGCTTCCACATTTGATATTGAGCTCTTTAATAAAATCCAAAGAAGAATCAGCAATATTATCAGTCCTGATCCTGCGGCTCATCTTCAGTAACTTTCCCACCGCCGTAAGGTTGCCTCTTTATGTCTTTTCTGTAAATACTTTCAAAGTAATTGTTCAGATGAACTCTTCGGTATGGTTCTGTTTGAATGAGTGTGTTTTTGAGCGAATGTTTTATATTATTAAAGTCCCGCATTGATTTCATTAACTTAACCGATGTTTCTGCCACATTTAAGGATTGTAGGGGTTTTATTACTACCATTATTTTGTTTAGTTTCATGTAAATAATTTATATTCATATTTTAAATACTCATTGCGCCTAGATTTTAATTGTTGTTTATTTCCCTACCCCACAAACAATGAATGGAACGTATGGGGACTAGTCAGGACTTTCACAGAGACAATGAGGTACTATGGTGGAAGTAGTAAGAATGGTAAGTAAGAATGCGTTGTTTTGGTGTTAGGAATATTGTTGAATGCTTGGTTCAGTGATTGTGGCTAGCTAAGTTTAATATCAAAACACACACAAATATATATATATATATATATATATATATATATATATATATATATATATATATATAATTAGGTTAGTGCAAAAAAAATGACGTAAGAATGTCGTTTTTTGACGTTAAAAAATACGTCATTATTTTTGCACCAACCTAATATATATATATATATATATATATATATATATATATATATAGAAAGAGAGAGAGAGAGAGAGACGGTTAACTTATATATATATATATATATATATATATATATATATATATATATAAGTTAACCGTCTAAACAGGTCAAGGTCTGGTCCTCCTCCTCCCCCAATACTAAGTATGATTGAGAGAGATATGAAATTAATCACTCCTTAAACTCTACCATGTCTCTTTAACTACTCCTTTTACACTCTCTGTTAAATTACAAAAAACTTATACTACCCATCAATTTTAATTTCATTTTTCGTTTCATTTCATTTTTCATCTGTGTGTGTGTGTGAGTACACAAACATGCCAAAAACAGCAGGCGTTCTGCCGGCGAAACGCGTCGTTCATAACTTTTCCACTTTATCTCATTGTCTTCCCTCTTGTTTCAGATACATCTTACAAACTCACCTATATAGGAATAATGACAATAGGAAATCTTTTCTTAGCCGACGCGTTTCGTCCTCTAATGGACTTCATAGAGGATTGATATAGCCCATATGAAGACGTAACGCGTCGGTAAAGTAAAGTTTTCTTGTCATTACTCATATTCTCTTTTCATATATATATTTTTTTATTTATATCTGAATTTTGACACACACACACAAATATATATATATATATATATATATATATATATATATGTGTGTGTGTGTGTGTGTGTGTGTGTGTGTGTGTGTGTGTGTGTGTGTGTGTGTTTATGTATGTATGCTTTATTAAGGATGACTGACGGGGTGCTGCGATTAAAACTTTTATTACATTTTTCGATTGTTCCTACGATTTATTTTCTGGATATTAAGTTCATAAAACTGTCCAAATATTGTATATATACGAGCGCTTTCGGCTATTCTATTGGCCATTATAAAGATTTTTTTTGTTTTTTGTTTTTTTTTTACTGAATATATAGGTGTTATATATCTATATCTAAAGTGATGGGAATGTTTTCCAAACAGAGTCAACGTATTTAGGAAAAAAACATTTCCATTATTATAGATACGCGTATATAAAGATCTACATATTCAGTTAAAAAAAAGAAACAAAAACAAAATAAAAAAAAATCCTTGATAATGGTTAAATGGCCAGCCGAGAGCACTTATATTTGCCTTTTGTTTGTTGATCTTTGCAACTTTATTTCCCTATTTTTTCTCTTTTTCTTTTCTTTTTTCTTTTCTTTTCTTTTTTCTTTTGTTTTCTTTTTTCTTTTCTTTTTTTTGCTTTTTTTGCGTAATAAATTTTGTAAAAAATTTGTATTGTATTTTCTTTGCTAAATATTATGATCACCTCAAATTAAAATTTCGCTGATCGTACGAGAAAAATGTTTCAACGTGATATGGCCTTAACAAAGGCGGTTGTATTGAATAAACTTTTTGTGTTCATATATCCATATGTAAGAACTTGCGTAATAAATTTTGTATTGTTTTCTTTGCTAAATATTATAATCACCTCAAATTAAAATTTGTTCTCGAATGCCTGAGGTATTCTGCATAAAGCCCGCTCTGGATTCAAAGCCATATACATGCTGGATTTTTTTAAATGAAACATAGGAAAGTCATATGCAGTAGAGAATGGGAAAATGATAGTTTGAGAATCCCATAACATCCTCGGGATGAATTTCATATTACAAATATGAAATATTTATGGAAATTGAAATCAAGTGGTATGTACCAGTGTTACGAACAAATGTATGACAGTTTAATATGAAATTTTATGTGATATGGATATCTCCGTTCGGTCATCGACTTTTTTTCATATCCAAAGCATTACGTGATATGGCCGTAAGCCAAGTGGAATAGGAAGCGAAAAACATAAAGGTAGGGCGAAAAATCAGAGGCTAGGAGCAAAAGAAGAAGAAAATGCGATTTTTAAAAGAAATAGGAAAATATAACGACGTAAGGAGGCACGGTGTAGCAATGGATAGCGGCTCGGATTGAAGAATTCCAATCGAATCCATTACATTCACTTGCGTTGGGAAAGGTATGAATCTTCTTCTTCTCCCCCCAGCTATGGATAAATAGCAGGACAGACCGGGTTCTATATCTATAACCTTGGAAAGTAAATGGTCTACCGCAGAAAGAAGTGGCAATCTACTGCGGGAAAAGATCTGCAATCGAAAGATACATGATCGTCTAAGGATGTATCACGCATGGCATATAAACTGAAAGACATACAATGGCTTGGGAAAGAAGTGTCGAAAACGATATCATTATTTGTAAAAAGTGCAAATCAAGTAAAAAAAAAGATTAATAAAGGAAAATGGAATAAATATCGAAAATAAAAATTATTGTAATTTTTTTAAAAAATAATTACCAGAAAAACTTAAATGTCTTATTTTTACAATAATGTTCACCCTATTTACATTATTCGGACTGTTATCCTCATCTTCATTGGCATATTCACAACGCTTCAGCCGTTGTACGCTCCGGCCTTCTTCAGGTGTTTGCAATTTCGAACTGAAGGCTTTATTTCGACCACCGTGGTAGATTGTTCTATTTCTACGTGCTATGCCTCAGTTATCTCCTTTTAACTCAACTCTCCAAATTTTTGGTTCAACACTGCTGTGGTCTGGTATTGAACTCACAACTCCTTGGCTCTAGTCAGGGGATTTAACCAACGCTTTTATCCACTAGGCCATTAACGACATCCACTGCGCCATGTGTCCTTAAGGACAGGACACATGGCGCAGTGGATAAAAGCGTTGGTTAGATTCAATGACGTGACCCAAAGATTTGTATGTTCAGTACCTGGTTGCTGCAGTAGAGAACATAAGATCTGAGTTAAACCAAGTAAACTGCGACATCCATAAAAGGCATGGCACGTGGAACTAGAACAATCTATAAAAAAAGCATTCGGTTCGAAATTCCAGCCACCTGAAGAAGGTCGGTGTGTACAACTGAAACGTTGGGAATATGGTAATGGAGGTGAGGATAACGGTCCGAATAATGTAAATAATCATAATACCTCATCATAGAGATATAGACAGATAATGTTCAATCTATACAAGGCCCTCGAGGTACTCCAGGTACAAGGTTACAGGGTATTTGATTGGTTCGTTTTGTAAGGCTTATCAACCCTTTGCGGGTTATTTTAAACCAGGAAATATTTTAGATTGTAAGAATTATATATATATATATATATATATATATATATATATATATATATATATATATATATATATAAAAAAGAAGAAGAGGAAACAGAAATAAAAAGAGGAAGAGTAGACAGGAATAAAAAGGAGAAGGGTAGACAGGAATATAAAGGAGAAAGGGGAGACGGGAAGAAAAAGGAGAAGGGGAGACAGAAATAAAAAGGAGAACGGGGACAGGAATAAAAAGGAGATGGGTAGACAGGAATAAAAAGGAGAAGGGGGACAGGAATAAAAAGGAGAAGGGGAGACAGAAATAAAAAGGAGAAGGGGGACAGGAATAAAAAGGAGAAGGGTAGACAGAAATAAAAAGGAGATGGGGAGACAGGAATGAAAAGGAGAAGGGGGACAAGAATAAAAAGGAGAAGGGTAGACAGGAATAAAAAGGAGAAGGGTAGACAGGAATAAAAAGGAGAAGGGTAGACAGTAATAAAAAGGAGAAGGGTAGACAGTAATAAAAAGGGGAAGGGAGACAGGAATAAAAAGGAGAAGTGTAGACAGTAATAAAAAGGGGAAGGGGGACAGGAATAAAAAAGAGAAGGGTAGACAGGAATAAAAAGGAGAACGGGGACAGTAATAAAAAGGAGAAGGGTAGACAGTAATAAAAAGGGGAAAAGGGACAGGAATAAAAAGGAGAAGGGTAGACAGGAATAAAAAGGAGAAGGGGGACAGGAATAAAAAGGAGAAGGGTAGACAGGAATAAAAAGGAGAAGGGGGACAGAAATAAAAAGGAGAACGGGGACAGGAATAAAAAGGAGAAGGGTAGACAGTAATAAAAAGGGGAAGGGGGACAGGAATAAAAAGGAGAAGGGTAGACAGGAATACATAGGTGAAGGGTAGACAGGAATAAAAAAAAAGGAGAAGGGTAGACAGGAATAAAAAGGAGAACGGGGACAGTAATAAAAAGGAGAAGGGTAGACAGTAATAAAAAAAGGGAAGGGGGACAGGAATAAAAAGGAGAAGGGTGAGACAGGAATAAAAAAAAGGAGAAGGCTAGACAGGAATAAAAAGGAGAAGGGTAGACAGGAATAAAAAGAAGGGGAGACAGAAATAAAAAGGAGAAGGGGAGACAGAAATAAAAAGGAGAAGGGTAGACAGTAATAAAAAGGGGAAGGGGGACAGGAATAAAAAGGAGAAGGGGGACAGGAATAAAAAGGGGAAGGGTAGACAGTAATAAAAAGGAGAAGGGTAGACAGTAATAAAAAGGGGAAAGGGGACAGGAATAAAAAGGAGAAGGGTAGATAGGAATAAAAAGGAGAAGGGGAGACAGGAATAAAAAGGAGAACGGGGACAGGAATAAAAAGGAGAAGGGTAGACAGTAATAAAAAGGGGAAGGGGGACAGGAATAAAAAGGAGAAGGGTAGACAGGAATACATAGGTGAAGGGTAGACAGGAATAAAAAGGAGAAGGGTAGACAGGAATAAAAAGGAGAACGGGGACAGTAATAAAAAGGAGAAGGTTAGACAGTAATAAAAAGGGGAAGGGGGACAGGAATAAAAAGGAGAAGGGTAGACAGGAATAAAAAGGAGAAGGCTAGACAGGAATAAAATGGAGAAGGGTAGACAGGAATAAAAAGAAGGGGAGACAGAAATAAAAAGGAGAAGGGGAGACAGAAATAAAAAGGAGAAGGGTAGACAGTAATAAAAAGGGGAAGGGGGACAGGAATAAAAAAAGGAGAAGGGGGACAGGAATAAAAAAGGGAAGGTAGACAGTAATAAAAAAAAGGAGAAGGGGTAGACAGTAATAAAAAAGGGGAAGGGGACAGGAATAAAAAGGAGAAGGTAGATAGGAATAAAAAGGAGAAGGGGAGACAGGAATAAAAAGGAGAACGGGGACAGGAATAAAAAGGAGAAGTGTAGACAGTAATAAAAAGGGGAAGGGGACAGGAATAAAAAAAGAGAAGTAGACAGGAATAAAAAGGAGAACAGGGACAGTAATAAAAAAGGAGAAGGGTAGACAGTAATAAAAAGGGGAAAAGGACAGGAATAAAAAAGGAGAAGGGTAGACAGGAATAAAAGGAGAAGGGGACAGGAATAAAAAGGAGAAGGGGGACAGGAATAAAAAGGAGAAGGGGGACAGAAATAAAAAGGAGAACGGGGACAGGAATAAAAAGGAGAAGGGTAGACAGTAATAAAAAGGGGAAGGGGGACAGGAATAAAAAGGAGAAGGGTAGACAGGAATACATAGGTGAAGGGTAGACAGGAATAAAAAGGAGAAGTGTAGACAGGAATAAAAAGGAGAACGGGGACAGTAATAAAAAGGAGAAGGGTAGACAGTAATAAAAAGGGGAAGGGGGACAGGAATAAAAAGGAAAAGGGTAGACAGGAATAAAAAGGAGAAGGCTAGACAGGAATAAAAAGGAGAAGGGTAGACAGGAATAAAAAGAAGGGGAGACAGAAATAAAAAGGAGAAGGGGAGACAGAAATAAAAAGGAGAAGGGTAGACAGGAATAAAAAGGAGAAGGGGAGACAGAAATAAAAAGGAGATGAGGAGACAGGAATAAAAAGGAGAAGGGGTGAACAGGAATAAAAGGAGAACAGGGACAGGAATAAAAAGGAGAAGGGTAGACAGTAATAAAAAGGGAAGGGGACAGGAATAAAAAGGAGAAGGGTAGACAGAATACATAGGTGAAGGGTGAACCAGAATAAAAAGGAGAAGGGTGAACAGGAATAAAAAGGAGAACAGGGGACAGTAATAAAAGGAGAAGGTTAGACAGTAATAAAAAGGGGAAGGGGGACAGGAATAAAAAGGAGAAGGGTAGACAGGAATAAAAAGGAGAAGGCTAGACAGGAATAAAAAGGAGAAGGGTAGACAGGAATAAAAAAGAAGGGGAGACAGAAATAAAAAGGAGAAGGAGACAGAAATAAAAAAAGAGAAGGGTAGACAGGAATAAAAAGGGAGAAGGGAGACAGAAATAAAAAGGAGATGAGGTGACAGGAATAAAAAGGAGAAGGGTAGACAGGAATAAAAAGAAGGGGAGACAGAAATAAAAAGGAGAAGGGGAGACAGAAATAAAAAGGAGAAGGGGGACAGGAATAAAAAGGAGAAGGGGAGACAGAAATAAAAAGGAGATGAGGAGACAGGAATAAAAAGGAGAAGGGTAGACAGGAATAAAAAGGAGTAGGGGGACAGGAATAAAAAGGAGAAGGGTAGACAGGAATAAAAAGAAGAAGGGGGACAGGAATAAAAAGGAGAAGGGGAGACAGGAATAAAAAGGAGAAGGGGGACTGGAATAAAAAGGAGAAGGGGAGACAGAATTAAAAAGGAGAAGGTTAGACAGGAATAAAAAGGAGAATGGGGACAGGTATAAAAAGGAGAAGGGTAGACAGCAATAAAAAGGAGAAGGAGAGACAGGAATAAAAAGAGGGACAGGAATAAAAAGGAGAAGGGGAGACAGCAATAAAAAGGAGAAGGGGAGACAGAAATAAAAAGGAGAAGGGGAGACAGGAATAAAAGACCACAGAAAGAAGAACAATGTGAGAATATAATGTCTTTTGGAAGGACAGATACAAATAATTTCAAAAGAAAACTGTGTCATGACGACAAAGTAACAGACAGTGGAGAAATCGTCTTAAAATGCAATTTATAAGTAACATAGTAAGAATTTGGTGTGGTTTCGTTTGGTTTGTTTTATGGTATATCAACCAAAATGGGAATATTGGGCGAGTCCACAAATATACAGACATTGATTTAATCCTTATTCAAACAATAATAAATTAAGCGGTAAAGAAAAATACAAAAAGAAAAAAGCTTATATTCTTTGTCCAAACTGGAACAAACTTTATCTATGTATGGTTTGGTTGGGTTTGTTTTACGGTATATCAACCTGAATGGGATATTTAATACCGACAAAATTTTCCTTCTCAGTTATATTTTTTTCAGATATGTACTGCTGGTAATATTTTTATCTTCAAAAATCTATTTCTGGTAATATTTTTCTTCAAAAATCTATCGCTGGTAATGTTTTTTTTTTTCAAAAATGTATAACTGGTAATATTTTTTTCCAAAAATGTATTGCTGGTAATAATTTTTTTTCTTCAAAACATTTTTGCTGTTAATAATTTTTTAAAAAGTATTTCTGGTATTAAAATCTATTTTTACACTTTCTTAGTGCTTTGACCCAAGTTTGGAGGTTAACTATTTGTCCATAGTTGGGACCCTAACAGGTGCTGTCACCCCGAGTCAGGATGGAACTGGGGACACCAGTAATTAAGAGGTGGTTCCACGCTCCTCAAAACCTCCTGATCACAGGCCTTGCTGTTGGATGTAGTTTATCTTCTCACCCAGGACCCGGCTGCAGTTTATCGTCTTACCCAGGACGCGGATGTAGTTTATCGTCTTACCCAGGACGCGAATGTAGTTTATCGTCTTACCCAGGACGCGAATGTAGTTTATCGTCTTACCCAGGACGCGGTTGCAGTTTATCGTCTTATCCTGGACGCGGCTGCAGTTTATCGTCTTACCCAGGACGCGGATTCAGTTTATCGTCTTACCCAGGACGCGGCTGCAGTTTATCGTCTTACCCAGGACGGCATAGTGAGAGAACGAAGAAACATCACTAACACGCCCTAGAGGAGATAGATACGGAAAGAAGTCCGCAAAATAAAGACAGGCAATAAAAAAAATTGGGAAAAAAGGTTTGTACAAAATAATTGGTCATAACCATTACTGAGCCTTAATTGCAAGAGACTCAAACATTATCATATGAATGGCTAAAACTTCGATAAACACCGGCCTGTAAATATACAATAATAAAATAAATCAATAAAAGACGAGAATGTAAGTAATTTTATTGAAATGGCCGACTTAAATTGCAATCAGAGACTATGTCGATCGAAGTTTTTAACACGAACATTTAAATGCAAAAACATGGATGCAGCCAATTCAGCTTCATTTAGTCTGGCCTGGAAACACATTTGTAGAAAGTCTGACAGAAATATGTTCAAGAGAAAGTCATGTCGCTTTTATACATGATCATTTTGAGGGTACTTTTTCAATTTTCTTCTTCTGTGTTCTTTCTCATGATGTCGTTGATCATAGCCCTTCACAACTTCCTATTCTTTTAGCTGTATTTATGGAGCATTATAAAGTACAGGCTCTCGAGAAAGCAATTGAGCAACATGCTCCATAAGTTTTCTATGGGGTTGAGGTCAGGAGATTGGGACGCCCATGTCATAACACTCACCTGCTTCTCATCAAAGTATTCCTTCATTAATTTTGATTTGTGACAGGGAGCATTATCCTGCATAAAAATGAGCTTGGTGGGGGTCGATTTGCACCCTTTCAGCAGAACGGAGCAGACAAGACTCTAAAATTCTCTTGTACTGCTCGCTCCTGAGGGTCTTTTAAATAGGTTTTAAAGTCGCCTCTTCTACTCCAATAGCTTCATGTCTCGCACCGCTCGCCTGTGGAACTCCCTTCCCTATTCCTGTTTCCCTGATAGCTATAATCTCTTTCTATTCAAATGTAATGTCAATCGACATCTCCATTTGCCTTGATCTATCCACTATCCTTCTCTTCATCCTTTCCTCTATCATTCCTATCTGCTCTCGCTCCAATCCTCTATGACCCCTTGCGTGCTAGTGGCTTTCCGCCTTGCAAGGGGTGAAATGCTTAAAAAAAAAACAAACTGTTCCATGAAAAGAAAAGCATACCCAGAACATTATACTGAACGGATGCTTGACAATACTTACTGCTAACTTTAAAGAGCATTCAAAGCTTCTTCTTCGGATTTTAGATCGCTTATCCTTTAAATTTAGCTCAACTTTCGTTTCATCGGAACATTTAGTAAAAAAAATCAGGTGAGTCACTTTTATCGAACAGCACTGTAAGAGATTTTTCCATGTTGACAATATAGTAAAATTCCTAGATAAAATTGGCAGATGAAGGTCAAGAGGCTTATGTAAAAGTGTCTCTCTCTTTTTATATTTTAGATTTAATGTAACTATGAAAACAAAAATATTTCGTTACAATTTTGCCTTAATAAAGTCGGAAGACGAAACACGTCGGCCAAAAAACTAAGATTTTTTCTCCTATTGTCACTACAATCCCAACCTGTTCAAGTCTAGAGTCAACCGTTATCTTCCCCTTCTATCCATACAAAATATCCCTTAACGTAACCCTCTACGTCGAGTGGTCCCAAGCCTTGTACAGGGTGGAACTTACTGTTAAAAAAAAATCTGAGCATTCCGTTTCAAATAGACGGACCAGAGAGATTATTAAATTAATTTCAGAACATCCTTTTCACAAGTATCTGTTTTATTAAATATTCAAGAAATATCCCGACACACTTTAGTTTACACAGCGCACATTCTTTTTCTTTTTTTTTTTCTTTTTTTTTTTTTCACCCCAAACTAGGCGGGAATGCCACTAGTACGCAGGGAGTTACAGAAATGACCATTATACCATCCGGGCAGGCTGCTGCTGAGGTTGAACACCGTATAGGGGCTGCAAGGTCCGCATTCGTGCGTCTCAAGCGGTCACTATGGGGGAGATGGGAGATTTCCACGGCTACGAAGGGGCGCATCTATCAGGCTATTGTTCGGACTATCCTTCTCTATGGCTGCGAAACGTGGCCACTTAGAGTGGTTGACCTACGAAGTCTTGAAGTGTTCGACAACGATTGCCTTCGCTGCATTCTGCGATGCTGCCGAATCGATCGTGTGCCCACAACCATTCTGCGTCGTCGCCTGAGTCTCCGTCCTCTTCCACCCGTCCTGCTCCAGCGTCGTCTCCGATGGTTCGACACGCAGCTCGACGCCCGGAGGGAGAACTCATCCGCGATGTACCTCTCCCTCCTTCTCTTCCTGGCTGGCCAAAACATGTCGGCGGGCAGCTGAGGACGTGGGCTAGCACAATCAAGGATGACCTAGCAGTACTATCGGGTCGACAAGTAGTTGGTCTTCGACGATGGAATCGCAATTGGCTCACCATTTCGTGGGAACCTGGCTCAGGATCGGCGGGCGTGGGCAAGCGATGGTCCGTGATGCTGTACTTGCTCGGAAGGAAGCCGGTTCAACCCGACCAGGGTGTAAACCGATACAAGTCAAAAAGTCAAGTTACAGAAAGTGAAGAAAAAGACTCTGTATAAGGAGGATTGAAGGAAGAATTAAAAAAAAAAATGAACGCCCTTCAAGAAGATAGAAGATGGCGATTGACGTTGCATTTCAATTTTTGAAGATTCTAGTTATCAGGGAAGCAAGAAAACGGAAAAGAGTTCCACAGGCAAGAACTGCGAGAAAATAAACTGTTGGAATTGAAGTAGCGGTTGCATTTAAGTATTTCATCAGTAAAATGGTAGGTGCTACATACCATTCTAGTAGCAAGTCTAGGGCAAAGCGCTCCATTACTAAAAATTATAAAAAACTAGCGGTAACAGAGAAAATGTCAGTTTTCCGATTTCAATTTTCTGATTAATCATGATATTAAAGTTAATAATTAAATAAGATCCTTGTGTCTATAAAATATTCGGGGAAATTCCCCTGTTGCATCGACAAATATTTAAGCTCAGCAACTTAAAATATTGCAATAATTAAGTATTAATTCAGGGCATCATTTAAAACAAATTACAAATGCATGTCTATATTTCTGAGATGAGGTATTTTAATTATTTACACTACTTACATCATCGTTCGTACTGCTGTCCTTATCTTTGTTGACATATTCACGACATTTCGGCCGTTTTAAGTTCCAGCCTTCTTCAGGTATTTGGAATTTCGAACTGAACACTCTATTTCGTCCACCGAGTAGATTGTTCCACGTACCACGCCTCTTCCAGATGTCTCAGTTATCTCCCTTTAAATCAACTCGCCATGTTTTTTTCCCCACTGCAGTAGCCAGGTACTGGAATCACAATTCTTTGGGTCAAGTCAATGGATCTAACCAACGCTTTTATCCACTGGACCATGTGTCCTTGATGAAGAAAAGAGGTACAGATGAAAAAATTTCAAATGGATAACTTTTCTGTTTCATTTTCATTGACGTTTGACACACGAGTGTTATCGCCTTTTCTATCTTCACTTCTTTCTTTCTTTCTTTTTTAATTTTTTCACTGAAACCAAGTAGCGTCCCTGATATGTCTTTTTCGTTTTTCTACATGAACAAAGCGGAATAGTCCATTATTTAGGAGGCATTAGTAGGGTGTAACGGGCATGCTTAGAAACTAATAGAGAGAATAATAATAATAATAATAATAATAATAATAATAATAATAATAATAATAATAACAATACTATATAAACTGATAAATCTATAAAAGCATAAGAACATTATCATCTATTCTGGCTTTCATTTTTTTCATTTTTCTTTTTCTTCTTCTTCTTCTTCTTCTTCTTATTATTATTATTATTATTATTATTAATACTAGCAGTATTTAAACTGCTTCTTCTCACTAAAACTGAACAGAGTTTCGGACATTTTTTCCCGTATTTACTTCCAATTAAAACGGTGTGGACCATTATTTATCTGGCGTCCTGAGTAAGACGATAAACGATATCCATCAGGAAGGCCTCTGAGCAGGAGCTTTTGAATAGTGTGGAACCACCTCTTAATTACTGGTGTTTCCAGGTCAAACCTGACTCGGGGGTACCACATGTTAGGGTCCCAACTATGGGCAAATAGTTAACTCCCAAACTGGGATCAAAGCACTATAAATGTGTAAAAATAGCTTTTAATACCAGAAATACTTTGAAAAATCTATTACCAGCAATACATTTTTGAAAAAAAAAGATATTACCGGCTATATATATATATATTTTTTTTTTTTGAAGGAAAAAATATAACCAGAAATACATTTTTGAAAAAAAAAATATTACTAGCAATAAAAAATTTGTCGGCATTAAATAACCCATTAAGGTTGATATACCGTAAACCAAACTAAACCAAACCATTATTTATCTGAGTTAATAGCAAGGCTTAACGCATGCGCTAACTTACTAACGGAAGAAGAATTCGAATTATATTATGATTATTTTAAATGTTAAAAAATCCAACTATCCTTTTTATTCTAAACACATCGTCGTTTTTAAAACTCATCCGCATGTTTATGTGTGTGATTTACTTGACTAAACTATAATCAGATTCAAGCGTATTTATGTTAGTATGTTGCTTCTTCCTCCCACCTCTCTCTCCTCTCTCTCTCTCTCTCTCTCTCTCTCTCTCTCTCTCAGTAGGTTACCTTATCACTTTCGAGAAACGGGAAAGCATGTCTGTGACAAATTTAAATTATCAAAACTCACGTTCAATCCTAGGAACACCAACCTCTCCAAAAGAAAGGAATATCCAATAAAGTTTAGGACGTTTGCCTGTGCCATTTCTAGGAACATTTGAGAGGAAAACTCTGTTGACGAATCTATTACTTAGAAAGCGTTGCTTATTAACACGAAGACAACACACAATTACAGACCCAGGATTTCACACCTGGGAAATTTCCCCTGGAATGCAGCAATCAACATACCTCACGTGGAAAACATGAATATAAAACGGAGATCAGAAACGAATCGTGTCTCCGAATTAACCACACCCGGACCCTAAACGGACACGTTTATCTCAGGGATTCGTGCTCTATTCCGGTAACCGGCGCATGAATGCATTTTAAATTTTGTCTCAATCTAGCGTTTGCGTTGAAGAGAGAACGCAAGCGAGAAATAGGAATGCGAATCTAATATT